TAGAGTTAGGCACTTTTCATTTAACGTCATTGAATATAAAGTAACAGAATAAATAAAGTTTTTAGTTAAATAAAAGTTTATTTCGATAATGACCTGCTCTGTGTAATATAACATATTATTTAAACGAAGTTTTCCAAAATTCTCGGAAATTTTCATTTTGCTTTTCATTGCCCAAATATTTCCAATGATCGTAAAATTGGGCATGATTCTTAGTAGTGTCTACAAGATGGAATTTGATCAAGCTAGTTAGTACATGATCAAAACAAAAAGTATATAAATGAGAAGAAGGAAGATGTGGTGAGAGAGATCATCGCAGAAATATGAGGACATAGCTGAATTGAACGAAGAAAGTGACTTTTCCGAAGAGAAGAGAGAAAGTGTCCCGCAAAAGAATGTTGCGAGTCTCTGGAGCTCGACAGTTTTACGTGACTTCTGAACGGAAACGGGTCGAACAGGTGAACAGCGTTCAAGAGGAAACAAAAATGGCATGATAATACTTAAGAGAACGTATTTGTTTTATAAATATTACGTAAGTGAATTTTCCTATCATTTTTGCATCTTTTAAAATAGAAATATAATTATACATACTTGCTTATTTTTTTCATATCGTTTTTATTGTAGTCATTTATTAGTGTATATTTAGGTATACATTATTTTAAGGCTCATAACTCTGATAGTAAGGCACTATATTATAAATATTAAATATAACAAAGATTAATATAAAATGATTAAATTGTGAATATTATTGCATTTGCAAAATTTGACATGAATTTATAACAATTTAGTTAATTGGTATCTACAAGAAATTCACAGAATGAGCATAATGTGTAAAGATAAATAATATATCTAAAGTAATAATAAATAAAATGTGATAGATGAGATAAATTTTTATTTTTTTCTCAGCTTTATCTTAGTTACGTGCGTAAAAAATCGAGTTACTAATGATAGTTTATCTAAGAAAATAATTTCTTTGAAAATGTAATCGTATGGATCATAATGATTCTTTTTCTGATAAATTAAGATTATTCGCAGTTTATGAAACAATATTTGTAGAATA